GGGGGCGACCCCCACGAAATATTTACAATATTGGGTTAACGTTCACCGATCGCCGACGGAACTCACTCGTCCCGCTCAGTCCGTGGCTCAATTTTTAGAGAGTTAGACGTCTGATCGAAAGGTCGTCGGATCGAGCCTCCGGTGGGACACCACTTCGAGTTGACAGGCTGATTACGGCTGAGCCATTCCATTCTACCCTGTTTTTGCTGGCAATGCTATCTGCCTATACTACTAGCCGCCGCGCGACTGCTGGTGGGATTCAAATATGAGCCCCAAGACAGAGCAGGACGAGTTGGTTTGGTTAGCGATTGGTGAACGTTAATCAACGAGTGACAGTGAACTTTTTTACAACTGGATCAATCTAATGATTCAAACCTACTAAAACACCGATGAATTAAGCGGATATGATGGTCATCTGGTGCACTATAGATTTATTGCTTAAGGACATTACCGACAAAGACATGGGACACTAGGACGGACCTTCCTGGCTTATGTGCCGTTGTCGGCTAGCGATACCCAACTCGAGTGTTGCTGCCACACTCGGGTTTTGAACTCGCGATCTCTCCGATCAAGGCGAACGTCCTAACCATTCAGCTACGAGTTCACGGTCTTGCCTGTATTTATTGCTTAAGAAAGCCTGCTTAGCCATTTAGTTTACTGTGCCAGAATTACTCGATTCTATAGGCTTAAGCAAGCTTGAGGCGTAATTTAACCCACATGTGTCAGGGCTACCGACGAGGCCTTATAATGCAGTTGGTTAGGGGTTTTGACGGTGTTCAAGGTTTGCCCTCTTTATCGTTAGTTCGAATCCCATCGAGGCCGTCACCTTTTCACAACCGGTTAAAATAAATTTTCCAAAACACCAAGTTACTACAATGTCTTGTCTGCGGAAGGACCTAAATGCAATCTGGCTAGAAGGCCAAAGACCTACTGCGCTTAGAGATTGCTCAGAGATTACCCCAAGACTAACCTGATCTGTGTTTTTGGCTTTATGACGAACAATTACACTGCGGCGTCTATGCAGAGACCTTTTACTAGTCTCGCCTATCTAATTTGGAAGTTACCAAGACCTGAAACAGCAAAGCATTATCAAAACCGGTAGATCTGTGTGCCCGAGGACTTCACCTAATTTCGGAACGCGACTGGACTTGAGGCCAGGCATAAAATAAACGAATCCAGGCTTGCGTTCGGAAGGCTTTTGCCCGACGCCAGCACCCTACACCTTCTTAGTTATCCGTACGAGGCTGGCCTCTGCAAGCACTGACATCTGCCGAGAATAACAATAAGCTGCTCTCACGTTCCCTTCTACAGTCTATTTATTCTATTGTTCAGGTGTTTGGATACAAGAACATCCCAGTGTAGGGTATGCAATTCCAGGAGACATAGTGATAAGGCCGACTACGAAAGGACTGCAAGTCTGTTTGGTGCTTTAAAGCAAGGTCTTGTCTCATGTAAATGGGGGCCCCTAACTGCATAGAGGTCGGCTTTGTCACCGGAACAGTCACTTAAGTGATATGGCAGTCCATTCCTGGTCGCTGCCTCGGTGGGTGTGTATCCGTCCAAACTACTGATCCGAATATGTATAAACATTAATTGAGTGGGCCTGGTGGACAGGAATAGGGAAAAGAGTACATACTGTTCATCCTGTGCATCTAGTACTATTATCTGCAATTCTCTCTGATGATTGGTTCGAGCGAAACTCCGAAACGTCAGGCCAATTATTCCAATGACTGCATCTTCTCCTCCCGTTTCCTGGAACCCGCGTGTTCGCTTTTATCAGTAATTATCCTGGTGGGTCAGGAAGGTGACATTCCCAATTAATGGACGTCCTAGGCCGACCACACTTCAAAATAATAAACAACCAAGCAAGCCTTCGTGCGTACTGCTTTGGATACTCTTTTTTGTTGATTTAAAAAATCCTAGATGTAGACAAAATAGCATAAAATGCACACACATACAAACAACGAGGGGAGAAAATTAGTTCACAGTGATAAATATAAAGAGAGAAATCTGGGAAATGCCCTCCGGCCATTAGGCATTGTCGGAGAATGCGAAGGCTGAGAGGCGTTTGGCTGCCCGAGCGGAGACTTCTGCAGCCTCGATCTTATTCACACGCTCTTTTGTGGCGGCGGCTGGAGGCGACGCGGGCCGTTTCTTGGCGCCTGTCTTCGCCGTTCCGGCCTAAGGAAAACGGATAAGGGGAGAACAGGGAGAGAGAGAGAGAGAGAGAGAGAGAGAGAGAGAGAGAGCAGGTGTCAACAGGACCAGAGGGTGGAGAGTCTAAATACGCAAAC